TCAGATGCTTTTGAAGTATTTAAAAAAATGTGTCAAAACATTCAAGAGGAGAAGAAGAGTGTGATTGTCAAGATCATAAGTGAACATGACAAGGAATTTGAGAATGCAAAATTATCTGAATTTTGTGGTTCTGAAGGTATTAGTTATGATTTGTTTCATTCCATTACTTCTCAGCAAAATGGTTTTTTTAAGCAAAAGACCAGGGTTATACAAGAATTAGCTAGAGTTATGCTCTCCACCAAGCAATTACCATTAGAGATTTTGGATGAAGCTATAAGTGTTGCTTTCTACATTCATAATAGGGTCACTTTTAGAGGAGGTACTTTAACTACTCTCTATGAGATATGGGCTGGAAGAAATCCTACAATCAAGCATTTTCATACCATTGGAATTAAATGTTATGTCTTAGTGAACAAAGATAAAAAAGGTAAGGAAAATCTCATAAGGAATAGAAGAATATTTTTGGGTTACTCTTCAGGAAAAAGAGCTTATAGAGTGTTTAACTCTAAAACTAAAGATGTTATGGAATCCACAAGTGTGATAATTGATGATGCTTTCCATGAAAAGGAGAAGGATGTCTAAGACAATGTTGGAGCATCTTTTGTGCAGACCGAGGAGACTGTTATAGAAACTATATGTGAGTCCACAAGTGTTGATCCAGATAACTCTGAAGTTAGATTTATACAGATCATCTCGAGGAGATTAATACAACACACTCAAATGAAGCAGACATTGCAAATTCATGCCTTGTTTCTAAACATGAACCAATGATGTGTTCTACTATTCAAGAAAGAAGAATCTTTAATTGCATCAGTGGGTCTCATTGGGTCAATAAGTATTTGTATATAAGAAACAGTCTGATTTGTACCTCTGAAAATACTATTGTATCTGAGTATGATGGAACGAGGAGAGATTATTCTCAACTGGTAAGGATTGACCAGATGTTAAAGGATTATAATTTCAAACATGATGTTATGACATTATTTGGTGAAGATCAGAATGATATCAAATATTTTATTCAACATGGATGGAATAAGAATCTTGATAGTCATAAGCAACTTATTAAGAATCTTGCTGAAGGAAAGATTATTACTCTAGAGCATATGAACAATAAGGAACAACTTATTGTTGTAAGCAGTGGGATTGGAACTTGTATTATTGAGGAGTTATAGCAATTAGAGTTATGGAAGAGTGCAACTGATAGTGCATCCTTCCTCTATGTTCTTATGCTTATGAAGCCTAAGCAAGTTTCTATTGGATGGGACAAAGGCTCTCTGCAAAGGGCTGGTGACAACACCAAGGAGTGCAAAAGGATCTTTGATAGGGGCAAGAGGTGGAAGACCACTTGAGGTTGTTGAAGTTTGTGTGTTTCCATCAGCTATTGTGTGTTTCCAATTTGTGCTTTCATGTGTGTTTTGTGCCTGTATGCATTATGTATGCTTCCATTTTTTTTACATTTACTCTATTTTTTGTGAATTTTGTCAAGGAGCGTTAACAACTTCATCCATTGTTTCGCTTGTTGGAATTGATGGGGAATTTGATGTAGACACTCCTTTTTTATTTTTATTCTTGGATAGTTGTTTATGCTTCTTCGTCTGCCTTTTATTCTTTCGAATTGTTCTTTCGATCTTGGGATCAAAAAGAAATTTTTCTTCCGAACTTTTGCCTCGAAGCATAAACCGAATTTTTCACCTATCTAAACACTTGAACAAACGGTTGCAAAAAATAAATATATACAATATATAACAAATTCACAAAACTTAGAAGTATAGAAACGATTGCGTTGTTTTAATACCTTAAACTCCAATCCCCGACAACGGTGCCAATTTGATGTTGAGTAAAATAGAATGAAAGTATTATTTTATCGTATCCGCAAGGATTGAAGTGATATCAAAACCGTTCAACAATTTCTATCATTCTAAGCATAAGTTTTCAAGAAGTTTGATTGATAAGTTACGAAAAGTGAAATGCGTAAAATAAAGAAAAGTAAAATTTGGAGGAATAGACTTGTTGGGAATTAGTTTTCATTCGCCGATTCAATATGCACTTCACAAATCAGTTATACAAAATTTAAGCAAGTTTCATTATCATCACGTATCGCACACAAACAAAGTTCATGTCTAAACTTTAATGAGATTTCTTACCTTATGGTTTAATCGACGATTTGTCTGCCTATTAAACAATACGGTAGTATTCCGATTTGATACTTTTAGTTAATATTAAATCTAAATCTATGTCTATAATTTAGAGTTTAATAGTTGTTATCTTATCGAGATTAGAATCATATTTGTCAATATCAATTCAATCCATGAAATAAACGGTAAAACAAAGATAACAACGATAATGATTCAAACATAAATTGCATATAACGCCATGATTAAAGAAAATACATATTGTTTCGACGAACTATGACCAATCCCAACAAGAGAAGGATTTAGCTACTCATGGTAGCTTGAAGCACAAGTGGAGAATTGAGTTGAAACAACATCAACGATGATTTCCTGACTCTTGATGCGAATCCACCTCCTTCTCCTTACAATCTCCTCTATGTCTACTCTACTGCTATTACAAATCATATTATATGATATTACAGGTGATAAAAACTAGAATGTCCCAACTTAACTGGGTTATGTCCCTTTTATAGCAGTTCTGATCACTTGAGTTTGCTAAGTGAACTATACTTTGCCAAGCAAAGTCTTTGCTTCAGTGCTAAGTTTTCAAATCAACTTGTCTTCTGAAAACGCCAAAGTTCGCTATGAGAGGTGAAGCTCGCTTAGCGAAGTTTATTTCTTTAGCCTGAAGTATTTTCAAAATATCTTCCTTAGACTGCCCTGTTTCGCTAAGAGAAGGCTTGATTCGCTAAGCGAACTTGCTTCGCTGCTCCTCACTGCTGACGGAATTAGCTGATTTTCTTATGCCTTCACTTCGCTGGAAGTTTGTTAAGAGAATTTTTCGCTGCAACTTTCACTTAGCGAAGTAGTTGTTTTCTCGTTTTTCTTTAAGGGTCAAAACTTGTACCAAAGACAACAAAACCAAAGTAGACTTGCACATATCACTTGTATTTATAAGTTGGGGTTTTTATGTTAAAAACTTGTCCTTTAAGTGAGATAAATGTCATGAAATGATATGATAATTTCCATGAATCAAGCATTCATCAAACTTTCCCAACTTGAATCTTCGTTTGTCCTCAATCAAAGCAATGCAAGAGCAAGAGTTTATATACCACCATTCATATAATCAACCAAATTTTTCAATAAAGTAGTCAAGGCACATGGTTTTTGAAGTTGCACATCCAAGTGTTGATATATTATTACTTTTTTTAGTATTTAGACATATTCATGAAACAAGTCTTCCACATAAAATTCGTGTCAAGCAATCCAAGGTAATAAACATGTTAATCATGAATCACACTATCACACTTTTTTTGTATAAGTGAAAATGATAAGGTATTATGATCTCTCACATAACAAAGCTTTCTAACATCTTGATTAATTCATGCATTTATTTAAGCAAAATATGTTTATATGGAAAGACAAAGATCACTAAGGTCTTTTCATGGTTGTAATATGGTCAAGGTACCAAGAAGTGTTATTTCCTATGGCTAGTGGAAACAAAATTGTTTTTGGTTTTTCTTTCTTTTGAAGTGCATTCATAGGCTTTGATTTTTTTTTTTTTGTATCAAATCATTCATCCAAACTTTTCTTGTTTCTTTCTTTTGAACTCATTCATTTTGAGTAATCATTGTCTTTTCTTTTCTCACTTTTCTCTTTCTTTCATTTTTCTTTTTGTACTTTGCACCTTTCTATTTTTCTTTCTTTTGAACAAGTACTTTTTTGCTTTTTCTCCCAAACTTTGAACAAAACCTTCTTTTCTTTGAATGCTCTTTCAGATTTGGAAAAAGATATCAATGGTTTCAAGGTTTAATTCAAGAAAAATAGAATCTATCATATATGAACTTTTTATGATTTTTAAAAAAATGGAACAATATTCACTAAGTGGTTTACATAATGCATTGTTGAGTTTCTAAATAATGGATTCATGTCATATGGCTCAAAAGGGGTTACAAATGATCACTCACTCACAAGGACATTGAGATTACTTTTGGCTTGCTAGTTATGCTAAATTTTCAACGAAATATCTTGATCCCTTCAATGTCTTTACAATAATTAACATAAATGAAAGATTCAGCATGAATCAAACGAGTTAAAACAAGAATTTGTCAATCTCCTAAACATATGGTGAACAATGGAAGGTTGTCTCACTTTTTCTGGTTTAGAACTAAGTGATTCATAAGGAAACATGTCATGGAATATGATTGAATGAATTGATTTTATATAGATTACTCATGGCATGCCCATGCTAAAGGTTGTAAGAAAGCAATAAACACTTACCTTGGTTTGTGCAATTCGTTCACAATTGTGTCGTTTACCTTTGTGCCTTTGATTCACATGAATTTGATATTTCACTCTTTGCCTTTTCCATTTCAATTATTGAGGACAAATATTCAAGCAAGATATCATAGATTGATCATAAGACACCTACAACTTAAAAACTATTTAAAAGATACATGAATACTAAAGTGAAAAAAGTGGCATGAATGTCATTTTTGTTGATTCTGCTATTTTCGCTTAGCGAATCAGGGCTCGCTTAGCGAATTTTGCAGAATTCAGTTTTATGCAGAATTCTCTTTTTAGCTCTTTCATGCTATTTTTCTTCCCAACAAGTGCTTGTTTAATGTCATTGGCTCGACGCATGTTTTCACAAAATACCAAGGTGGTTTGTATGAATTCTTCAGAGTGTCCTTGCCATCATGCTCTGGCCTTTCTTTGTCATTTATTCTTTTCAGTACCAGGCCTATTTCATCAGGAGATTTCACTTTGAAATAATCTTCCCTTTGTGTTGTAAGATTTGAAACAATTTGAAGTTTACCTCCTGATTTTTGCACCTTACTTTCATCATTCCTTCAATGACATCAATCATCATCCGGGTTTTTTTAATGAATGAACGACCTAAGATCAGAGGTATGCTATCATTTTCATCCATATTCATCACCACAAACACATTGAACGAATTGTGGATGTGGAGAGTGGTGGTAATTACGATTATCGTGTTGTATCCGGGTTATTTGGTGATGGGGAGGAAAATCACACTCTTGTGTGCCAAACACTTATTTCATAGTTGACGGCGCATAGGGAGAAGTCAAAGAAAGAACTGTTTTTAGATTTAAACTGTGACAATTCGTTTGATGCATTTTAGAATATAATCGAACCATTTTTTGAATGTATTATCGTATACATTATAAAATCTATATGTTTCAATAGATATATAACATATTATATATCTTTTGTTTTACAATTGTTTATTTTTTTTCATGTCACTTTGATACAAATATTGATTATGAGTTCTGGTTCTACATGATTCGGAAGTGCACTTCTGAATTGACCTTAAACTTAAAAAAAAAAAACACAGGACATATTTTGAATATGAACATCCGAATTTACCTCTTATTTTTATTTAAAAAAAAAATGTGGTGTTTTGAAATGTGCATTTCCGAAAACCCCTAATTATGATAAAAAAAAAAGAATTAATTCGGATGTTCATATCAGAATTATCTCCTTATAAGATTTCTTTGGTCCATATTACTCCAAAAAGGCTATAAATTAGATCTTTCATACCATTTTTTTTATCATTCACATACCACAACCAAAAATGACACAAACATATTAGCACCTTGCTTTTGTCTACTTCAATGGTGCACAGTCGCCACTTCAATTCAAGTTCTCGCAAAACACGCTGTTCGCGGAACTCATTACCATACTGCATTTACCTTCAATTAACATTGAAGGAAACAGAAAATTCACCCCGTTTAAGCTCAAGAACGACGACGATTTAGAGGTTATGTGGAATATCTTTCAACAATACTCTTCTAAGAATCTGATTGAGATGGATGCAAAGCTTCAAAGATCGGCAAAAGATGTTTTCAAAATGTTACAACGTCTTCAACTGCCCGTTTATAACAATATGTATCTTTAATTTTCTGCATAACTATTTATGTAACTTCTTTGAATTATGTTGAATAAATGTCATGAATTATGTTGAATAAATGTTATGAATTATGTTGAATAATATTCTGCACAGGAATAAATGCAGATATGCATATCTAAAATTGTTTAACAAGTGAGTTCGGATATGCATATCCAAAATATTTAATAAATCACGTTGGTGATTCATTCGGATATACACGTCCGAATTCTAAAGGTATTTTAGATTTTTCGCCAAAAGTCTAGAAGTATACTAGGTGTGGAAAGAAATTCTCCAAAAAGAGAGATGCAGAATTGTAACATTTTAATTGGCAAACAAACTATAGCAAAAACTGTTGATCAGGGAAGATATTGTCAACTTGACCTAAGCATAAGATCATTTAAATGCATTTTCTTACGATATTTCAAGATGTATAATTTTTTACTATCAACAAAGTCTAAATGAAGGTGATAAATGTTCTTCAGTATCCAAAACCAATAAACTGGTTCAGCTTGGCTTAATAAAGGTGATTAACAGTAACAAAAACTAATGAATAGTGAAATGTATAACACTTCTACAAATATTTCCCTAATATAATGTTCAGAGATTCTCAAAACTAGAGGCTCTTTCCCCTACAAAGAGGATAGTTCATTAGGCAAATTTAAAAATCCTACAAAACACACTTTCTGGTCATCATCCTTCATGACATGCTAAACCATCATCAGCCTTCATCTAGGGGGAAAAAGGTAACAACTAAATCAGATGTACACAATACATTCAGGATATTGAGCAAAATGCAAAATCATGTTTCATTGCAGGTGTAACATCGAAAATAAATCCAGAGAACCATCAATTACAACATATGTCGAAAATGAAAATGGATCCTCCAACTAAAACTCTAGTCAACCATTTTATGTTTGATAGTTTGATACCCTAAAATTCGAAAAGAATTTACTCCTCAAAATCTAATTCACTGAGGTGACTGGTCGAACTTTCAAGGAGAAAACATGTTACCTACTCAGTCTTCGAACTTTATCTTCTTTGGAGCAGGCTGGAGGTTACCCACCTGCAACAGAAATTTGACAAAAAATGAGACAATTCAAGACATGGACAGTCAAAACATCTAATAAATAAAAAGATTCATAAAGGCAAAAAGCTTACAATCTCGGGACATTCATAATCAATGCCAGCAGCCTCTATCCTTTTCCGGCGTTTTTTGTCACGTTTCATAACCCTGTCAACCAACTTTTTGTGTTCTTCCAGTGTCCTTTCCTGAAATGACAACTATGAGTACACTTTCTTTTTATAGAGCACCAGACTGATAAAAACACTAAGATATACTTCCTTGTCATACTAGATACCTTGTCATGTCGCTCTCGTTCAATTTGGAGAGAGTCCAAGGGCTTGTAACGGTAATTGAATCCTTTCCATCTACAAAGAAAAACATCACCTTTTCATTTAACCTTATTGATGTTATTGAAGAAACAAATTATTTAACATTAGGCATGACATGTAATATACTATTGATTCAAATTTATTTCTACACATAATTTTGTCACATGTTTTTATTGTTTAACAATTCCTGTTGTTGGTATATTAATTGTAGTAAATCATTCTAAGTGGTGAGATTTCATCTGTTGACAGAATTATACAAATTCAAATGTGATCAAAACTAATCACTGTTCGCCTTATCTATAAACAAATAGTTGGTTCTATTGTCAGTCAGCAAATCCATAACACAAATAGATAGCAGTACATTTTCTCAATTATAGTTAATGATTACTAATAAAACCTAATCTGACGGACCAGATAAGTGTGCTACTCTAATTTCTTTTGGAGGAAGGGATCCGAAAAAGCATCATGGATGAAGGGGGGTAACCAACCTAAAAAGCCCACAAATTGCGATTTTTATAGTGTCCTTGCACTATGGAAATGGAACCATATTCATAGTCATGTTTATCTGAGATATCTAGGGGGATAGGTAGGCCTACTTGCTGATTTTCCTATCATATGATTCTAGTAAACTACCCAGGAATAGTTGATTCTCCAATAGAATTTCTATTATGGCATATTAAACTCTCTTTAAACACAAGAAAAGAAAGAGAAAAAAACAACTTTAAAATAGTCACTTACAATCTTGGATGAACATTTTCTAAAGGTATCACATAAACCTGAAGAAGGTGTTCGAAAAGCAAATAATTGTGCATAGTATCAGCAACAATTTTTGCAACCTATAGAACATAGAAATAGAAATGTTAGCACAAACAAGAGTTTACAACAAAGATTATAATCAAAAATCAAAACCACAATAATTATACAGATGAAACAACAGTTACCTCGGGAGATTCAAATTCTATGAACCCAAAATGTCTGGATTTTCCGGTCTGTTAAACAAGAAGAAAAAAAAGTATGATCAACAAGGGGCGATATATATAACCAAAGATGGATTTCCTGGTACACAAATGCTTTATAACTTAAAGGAAATTGATGTTCAAAGCGCAAGAATTGCGATCCTTTATAATAAATCCAATGATTTTGCAATGTGAATTAAAAATTTAAATTAAAAGATAAATGTACATTAGAATGGCATACTCCAGAAAAATTATCATCAAAATTATAGAGCTCATTGACCACACAGGGTGATTAGACACAGTAAACATAGCAAAGCACAAATCATCGTCATACTAATAGTTAATACAAGCATAAGCAAACACAAGCGAGGTGAAAAACAAATTTAGGAACTTGACCTTTTTATTTCTGGCTATTCTCAATCTCTTGATGGTTCCAAATTGTGCAAAATAAGCTGCAAAGACAAATTCATAAACACATTTATCTCCCAGCTAAATAACAATCATATCATATTCAAAAACAATAAACATAAAGAAAAATCTAAAACTGTAAGCACCTTCCATCTCCTTCTCATAGAAGCCATGTGGAATTCTACCAATGTACAAAACAGGTGAAGTATTCTCCAGAGGTTTAAGTTCAGGAAGCTTGCGACCCGGACCACCCGCCAATGGCTACAAAACCAAATCAGATAAAAAAAAATAAGCAACTAAACAAATTCACTAACAAGTTCAAAACAAAATTGAGAGCAAAAGTGCTTTGTACCAAAAAATCAGCACCCTCAGATGGCTTAATTTTAGCGGTAACCCTTTTCATGTTCTTCTTCATAGCTTTCTTTGCCTTGGTCCCCATCTCACTTTTCACAACACTGATAAAATTCACAGCAACAACTACATAGTTAGCTATAACCGAATTGAAGAAAGTGAAAATTTAAACTTGTGATGAATCGTTCAGTGTTTAGTCTGTAAGCTAAGAAACCCTAAACCCTAAATTTATTTACACTTTGACACCTTCGTCGGGTAATAGTGATTATTTTAGATGATTTCAACTTACAGTGAAAAGGATGAACAGAAGAAAAAACCAGACAGCGTAGGGGGAAGAGGAAAAGCACCTTAGACGGGAGACGATGGCTGAACGTCCGGGCGGTGGTGACTGCGCTAGGGTTCGTTAAATCTTTCAATATTTGGTACTGATAATTGGTACTTCAATTATGCGTTTTTTTTTTTGTTTTTATGATTTTTTTTTATAATGAACCGGGCTGGCCTATTTGGTTGCTCAACCCGAATGGTTATTGGGCTGAATAACTGGCTCACATTGTGAATTTCTTTTCCCACCTCTATAAGTTTTTCCTAACCCTTGACGAAAGTTAAAAATATCTTTCATTTTTAGTGATGTATTTTCGAACGTACCGTTTTTCTATAAAATAAGTGCAAATGGATGAGCGTCTCATATTTTCAAATTCAGGAGATTTTTCAGATATGCATATCTGAAATACAGGTGTTTAAATCATAATCTGTGTTCTACATTTAGGCCTAGTTTAACAATAACTAGTACAAAACAATATCAATACAATGAATTAGTTCTAATGAGTATGCAAACATAAAAGCTTAAAAATGCTAATAAATTATCTTTTGTTGGTATGAAATGAAAAAAATAAGCCATTTGAAATATATTATTCAGATCTTGTAATAATAGATTCAAAAATCATTATCACGAGTCTCGTGTCTCCGCTTCCACTCAATCATATGCAATTGCATAAATTTGATTGTTTGCACCTTTTTCTATTGCTACCATTAATTGACCACTATACTCACCCTTCAAGAAACATACATATATTCTCTAAAAAATAGGTCAAATGTCAAACATGTCTACATGTAAATGCAAATTCAACTTTACACGCCTTAAGACATACATATATTCTTTCAAAAACAGGATCAATGTCAGACATGCCATGTAACACCCTCTAAAACCTCGAAGAATAATATGTCATAAATTAGAGTAATATAACATGTATATCAGTCGAGGGTATCACACTTAATTCAAACATCCACATACACTTGTCATGCTCAATAACACTTATTTAAAAATGCATGCTTTCAATACACTCACATAAGCATGTAGCAGCAGAATCAACTTCATTCAAACGAATATAATATTAAAGTCTCATAAAATTTCATTCATTGAACAACTTGGCCATTAAAATCTACTTCATCACATTATTCAAATAAGAACAGCCAAATAAATAGTGTATACAAAGGTATCTCTCAAACATGAATTAAAACATTCCCACGTGTTACATAATCAGAGTGTGACCCAAAACAAAACACAGAAAGGAAAATAAAGATAGCTCCTCCAGCTACATTCTTGCTAGAAGCAACTCTGATCTTCAGTACCTGAGCAATGTCGTTATAAAACATCATTTCAACAGAAGAGTGAGAATTCACATAATTATCGAAAATTATATAATAATATATAATGCATAATATACATGCATAAAGATAAATATTCTCACACTTCAAATGCTTATAAATATAGCACCACCCAATTAATCTTACTATTCACAAGTATACACTCACAATCCACAATTTCACAAATTCATCATTTTCACATATTGCACATAACTCCATATTGTACATAAACACAATGTGACTCAATGCATTACTCAAATGCAATACTTGTGCATGTGGTACCAATCACTTTTATTTTTATTTGGTTTTTACTTTAAATTGAGTCTATTCCCTAGACCAATAACACATAAAAATCTCGTTCCCTAAGCTTTCAAACACCGTTATAGGTTTGGGACAAGTCACTATCTCCCACAGAACTAACAAGCATTGCCTCTTGAAAATAATGATGCATGTGCAATTTCAACAACCATGTAAAATTAAGACCATTACTTAATCTTAACATCCATTCATATCTTCAATAACTCTCACGCTTAAATTACCACACACTTGCACATACATACACATTGTTGTACCCCAAAAATTTTCCTCTCATTTATCAAATATTTCCTCACAAAGATCTCTCTTGGTTCAAGACTACACTAGGGTTGATCAGCTCAAGACATCTCCTTAAGCATTGATGACCAAAATTAGGGTTTGAGATTGCACAAGGATAATTGAACTTTAAATGCTTCACATGGCTTTCATGGATCATTATGGACCCCCAAGATTACTCATGTCAATTTTCAAGCCTTGGATCACACTTTTGCTCAGTCAATTGAGCAGTTGACCTAAAAATTAATTGTATTGGGGAAAAAGTCAACCATGGCCAATTTACAATCAAACTTCATAATTTTTTATCCAAATCAACATTATAAACTCATATGTATCATTTGATCAAGTTTGGACCATAATTCCCCAAGAAATTTGATCAAATCATCAAAAGGGAAAAATGGTCAAAATTAGGGGTTTGACTTAGAAAGGGCAATTTCTGATTTTTGACCTAGCAAATGGTCAACTTGTTTGAAGCATGATTTTAAGAGTTCAATTGCATCATCTTGACCTAATGGCATGACCTAAAACATTACTCAAGATCAATTGGATTGACAATAAATTTTCAGTCAACTGATCAAAAGTCAATTGTACACTAAAAAGTCAAACTTTGACTTTTTGGTCAAAATTCAATGTCAAAGATCACAATTCATCAAAACATATCAAAATATGAAACTTATTCATCAAGAAATCAAAAATTCAAGATTTCATTTTGAAAAGTCAAAGTTTTCTAACTTAGAAATTTTTCTAAGTGTTTTAAACTTCATGTTTTTTCATAACTTTGAGCCAATTTTTCACCATGATGCAAGAGGATTCAGAAGAAACTTTCAACATGAAAGTTATAGATCTCCATGATATCAACAAAATGTATTTACACAAGTTCTCCTAAAAATGATTGTATCTTAAGTTATTAATTCATAAAGTCATGGTCTTGAAATTGGACACTTAGTGAAATTTCCCTAATTTTGGTCAGGATTTTGACCTAACTTCATGGCACTTTTTCATATAGTTCCAAGGGGAATTTTCAAAAGTGATACAAAGAGGGGTTATAGATAACATTACAAGCTTTCCAAAATGTCCAAGAAATCCTTGAGATCATTCTTGAGTAGGGAGAATCGAAGAGACTAAGTTAGGGTTTTCACACTTGAATTACAAGTCATTTTGTGATGAACAAGAATTCAATTTCAAACCTATGCTGCACAATCTTGTTTTGCAGGCCTCTAAACCTCAAGATCTCTCTATAATCAGAAGATTACACTTACTTTTGAGCTATTATCCACTTGATTCAAGCTTTGTCCAAGTAAATTTTCCATCAATGGAATAAAGTTCACACTTCCATTTTGGAAAAGTGACTTTAATCATAAAGTCAATGCATATAGCTCCTAACTTGTTCTTTCTGATCACAAGCAATGTCAAAGGCAAAAGCAACATGTCTAGGGCCTCCCATAAACTCAGCCCATGCTTGTACTTCATCTTGGAACCATATTGTCACTTTTCTTCAAAATCAAGTAACATAGTCATAAGTTTATACCTTGCTTTTCTGACCTCCTCAAGGGCAGAAACCTTTTCCATATAATTATACAAATGTATTGCAAGCTAACACACGATTAAACAAGCCCTCAAACTCCCCAAAACCAAAAATTGTCATACAAGCACAAAAACTTGTCATTTCTGATTTTTGAATCCAATCTCTAAACCCCCTCGTGCGTTTCTTGGCCAAACCATCCACAACGCTTCTAATACACATATAGAAGATATCTCAACCCTTGTTTTCAAATTGTAATACCATTTACACCATCCTCCATTTTCAAAAATAGGGCATTGCACATTGACTTCTTCAGCTTGATTCAAGAACTCTCAGCACAAAGTAAGCTTTACAATAGCTTCCTAGAGGTGCAAGGAAGCTCACTCAATCATCAAAACACTTTGAAAGTAGCTCTAACTCAAAACACGATCTCCAGCTGCAAGGTGAGTTTTCTGACTTTTCATCTCATTATTTAGGCATTGTTAGGTCTTGACTTGTGAAGATAAAATGTAGATAACTTTGCCACGAAACTGTACATATTCATAGTTTGCATTTATATAGCCTGAGCTTAGAGAATTTTAGAGTTGAAGTTTTCTGAAATTTTTAGGTTTTAAATTAGGGTCAGAGAAATTCTCCTTCATCTTTGATTGTTAGCTTAAGTTATTTACATGGTTGGATTCATGGGAAGAAATGCCACAACTTTCATGTTTGAACTTTTCATTTTTGTTGAGAGATGAAGAAGATACGGGTCCTTTGGCTGGAGGTTGAAGATGAAGTCATTTTCAAGACTGGATTGATGTTATGTATTTGTTGTTTTTCTTATATTAACAGATGTATAATCACCCCAGTGGTAAAGCGCGCGCATGTTCACCCTTAGGTCCTGGGTTCAAGCCCCTAGTGTGACATTTTGCAATTTTTTTCACAAATTTCTGACTTTTTTGTGTTTTTTGGCAGCACTTGGGCTTTTCATGTGGGCCTGAGTATTTTTTCTCACAATACCTCTTGCCTGACTAATTCACCCCCTGACTTTTTCTTTATATTTTTATCTTTATTTTTTTTCTTCATTATTATTATTATTATTATTAATATTTTTATTATTATTATTATTATTATTATTATTATTATTATTATTATTATTTTCATTAAATCATAAAAAAAATCTATATTTATTTTTATTTATTTTTTATACTCATGTATTTTATTTTCCATAAAACAAAAGACCAAAAATATTTTCTTAAAGACAAATTAATTTCTTTTCTCCTTAAATAAATTCTTAGAATTAGGATAAATTAATATATTTTTTATTTTTTTTAGTTAAAATCAATTTAGAATTAGGTTATTTTTATAATTAATCTTCATTTTATTTTTATTAATTTAAAACCTTTTTTTCATAAAAAAACCCTAAAAATCCTTTTCAAATTAATTTCTTTTCTTAATTAGTTTAATTTTATTTAATTTTAATTAATCTTTTTCTTTAATTAGGTCAAGACAAAAAAAAACCTTTCATAAAAACAACAAAAATCATCTCTTTTTTCCATTTATATTCTTGCATTTTATTTTCAATTTTGTATAATATTCAATATGGTTGTAATAAGATAGTTAGGTTTAATTTTCTTGCAATCCCCATTTGTAAATTTATACACCCCCTCCCCTAATGATGTAATAGCGTAGTAATTTTACTTTTCGTAATTTATCGCTTTATATAAATGCTAGTAATTAGGGTTTGTATGGAAAGACTAAAACCAATCAATTAGCAAACCCTAATCAAAGACAAATCAAGCATGAAAAATCAACACACTTGCACACAAGCACCCCTAGGATAAAATCCACTTGGTTGCCTTATAAAATGGCCATGTTATGCATGTGAGGTATCTTAGCAAAAACAAACAAACACAAGATCATAGTCCCTCAATGACGCTATCTATGTTGCCTTTTCAAAATGATCTTAGTCCCTAAAGAAAGATGTTAGGATACCTTGCAACATTGCTAATCATGGTTATATAATGACCCACGCCCGTCCCGTTTACATCCAAAGATAGGGTTACTTACCAAATCAATAGTAAGATAACAATGTCAAAGGAGAAAGGAAATGAACATGAAAGACTTTTGACTAGGTAGAATGCTCCTAGTTACTTGCTCAATTTCAAAACAAAACATCCTTGCTATTTTTAAAACAAACACCAATACTTTCAAACTTGAAAAACATTTTCAAAAGATCAACACCTTGTATACATTCTTACGAACGAGAATCATTACAAAGTTTTCCTAAACGATGACGCCTTTTCAAAATACTTTCAAAAACCACACAAAGCACAATTTTAAACAAAAAGCAAGTGATCTAGCAAGTAACTAAGAGCCCATGGAAAACCATGGATGAAAAGGGTGTTAATACCTTCCCTTTCCATAATCTACCCCCCAAACCCAAGAAACAAGCTCAAAGGTCTTTCCTGTGCTTTTTTACCTTTTCTTTTGGATAAAAGAAAAGTCAGTGGCGACTCTTGCTAACCGCAACATTTGCGATAAAACGTAAAACACCCAAGTCAGTTCTCCCACCATATCACACACATACTCATGAATTATTCAGATACAATTCATATTCATAGTATCACTACTCCAAAATATCAACATAACACGTAGGAAGTAATACACAAGTATCATAGCAATCCAACATTAAACCACAAACTACACAACACCAAAATACAAGTCATTTACATAACCACACAATGATTAAATCACATATTACCAACAAGATCATTGTTATTGGAAAGAATATGCACTAGATTACTAACACTTCGAACAGTGACCCAAACATAGGGGTGGGAATAGGCTAGGCCGAGCTAGACTTTATCAAGCATGAGCCTGGCCTGCTAAAAATATAAAAGCCTAAGCCTGGAATGTG